CACGCCACCACTGGATGGCAGTCTTTCAGATTCAAGCCCTGAGGGTGGGCACACAGTGGAGTCTCACTGTGGTCTCTATTTGCATTTCTCTGATGACCAGTAATGGTGAGCACCTTTTCAGTTGCTTATTCCCCACTTGTATATCTTTTCTAAAGCACCTGTTCAAGTGTCTTGCACATTTGTTATTGTATTGTCTTTTTATCACTGAGTTGTGGAATTCTTTATTCCTTTGTCATGTATAAATATTGCAAATATTTCTCCAAGTCTGTGGCTTGCCTTTTTATTTTATATACCTTTTTTAACATTCTAAAGAGAAATTTACTTTCCATTTTATTTTTTCTCAGTAATAGAGCAAAACAATAAAGAAAAAAATATAGATGAGTATCTAAACTTTTTCAGAAACAATGTATTTCATAGAGTAAAAATTGAATAGACACTTTTTTCCCACTGTGTTCATGAAATCTAAATGATAGATTGTGGAATTCATAAGTGTGGCGAATAAGCCAGTCTAAAGAAAATCTCCTGTGCCTCCTGTACGACGTCCCATACCATGTTCCATATCATGTCCCGTCCACATCCCGTACCACATCCTGTACCACGGACCATAACAGGCGATTGCCAAAAAGCAAAGGTTCCACTCTGACCTTGAACTAAACGCTGACCTGCCTCCAAGGGCATCTTGATGAGCAAAAGGCTGTAGCTTTGAGGCCCAATTTATCCATTCTTCTTCAGGATTTGCGCCTTCTACGTCCTTAGAAATCCTTTCCCACTCCCAGTCATGAAGACCTCTGATGCTTTCCAGGTCCCTGTCCACCTCGAGTTCATGTTTACGTACAGTGTGAAGATGGACTCCAGGCTCACGTTCCCCCATAGGGCACAGAACTGCACCAGGGCCTTCAGCCACGCCTGTCTCTGCACCACGCCGTCCTGATGGCTGTCACTTCAGAGGAAGTCTTGAAATCTGGGAGGGTCAAGTGCTCCATTCTGTGCTAGGCTGTCTTGGCTATTTAAGTCCTCTGCATTTCTATATACATTTGTGGAATCAGATTGTCAGTTTCTAGGAAAATCCTGCTGGGATTTGGTTGAGCCGGCATCGCTTCTGTTTCAGTTCGGACAGACTTGCTGTCTTCAGCAACAGTGAGTCTTCCCCACCAGCACTATGGTGTTGGCCTCCGCTGAGGGCTTCGATTTCTCAGTTCCAGTGTAAGGATCTCATACATTCAGTGTATACCTAGGCATGTGTTCTCTGTGCTATTGTTGACGGCACGTTTTTAACCTGGTTGTTGGTTGCGAGTACACGGAACTACAGACGCCTCCAGCTACCGGCCTTGCCTCTGGCCCTCTTTCGGAGTTCACGCACCATGCTCAGTGTTGTGTTTGTAGGTTCATCTGGACTTCCGAGACATATAGTCGTGTCACCTCTAAATTTTTTGTTCACCTTCTTCCTCTCCACACTTGGTGCCTGTTTTTCTTGCCTTTTTGCCCAACTGCAGCTGCCTGTATGTGGGGAGCGGAGGCAGCAAGAGCGGCCATCCCGGTCATGTTCACATCAGGCTGCTCGTGCCCCAGGTCTGTGCAAACACCCAGATCAGACTGACGGCAGCCAGCAAGCCTGTGATGAGATGCGAAACAGCAGCTACGAGTCTCAAGAACAGAGTACAACAAACGCGCCTGTAGACCCGATCTTGTGGCAGTGCCTGGCTGAGGGGAATCTCTAAGCCTCAAGTCACCGTGACCGCCCCACACAGACTGACCGAACCAACATGAAGAGCAGAAGAGCTGGGATGAAACCAATCATCCTCGCAGAAATTCAAGTGCAACTGCTCTTTGTACCTGATTAAACTAATTTATTTCAGGCCAAGAACTTCGTGAAAGGCAGGCATGGGTCATGGATGGAAAGCACAGGCATGACCCCATCAGGGAACGACCCTGGCACAGCCTGCAGTAGGAAGCTGGAGCGCGCCCACCAGTGCTTCCTGCTGAGACTTGGTGTGGCCACAAGTGTCCAGGGTGAACTGTTTCCTCCTTAAAAAAGATATGGAGGACTCCTTACCCCCGGTCCTCAGAATGGGACTCTATCTGGAGTTAGGGTCTTTACACAGGTAATCCAGTCAGAATGAGGTTGTTTGGGTGGGCCCTGATCCAACAGGGCTGGGGGTCCTTACAGAGAGGGGAAGCTGGACCCAGAGACTGACACACACAAGGGAGAAGCTGCGGAAAGGGGGAGGCAGAGATTGGGAGCTGTGTCTAAGCCAAGGAACCCAAAGGTGCCAGCAGCTGCCAGAAGCTGGGAGAGCAGAGCCTTCCCCAGAGCCTGGGGAGAAACCCACCGTGCTGGCACCTGTGGCCCCCAGAGCTGTGGGACGATTCGTGGTCCTTTGTCACAGCAGCCCCAGTGGGGCAGTGCAACAGGTGTGGGAACAGGGGCAGTGTCTCCAGCAGCACTTGTAAGTAAACCTGTATTATCGCTGTGGATAATACAGTATTATCACATAAATAATAAACCTGTATTATCACATCCAGGTGGAGTGAATGTCACGACAGGGGACGGACTCCAGTCGCATCAGAGACCGCTCCCAAAGGCTCTCCAAGGTGCTCAAAGGCAGGGAGTGGTGCGGTACACATTGGCGCTGAGTCTCTGAGGGCCCAGCAGGAGCTGCAAACTGTCAGGGCCAACATGTACCACAAACTGCCCTGGAGACGCCTTCTCTCGCCACAGGAGGTCTGCGTCAGGGCTGGGGCCCTCTGGGCACCTCAGCTGCGTTTCTGTGTGCATCTCCCCCTGCGCTGGGCCTCCCCCCGCCCCTCCTAGCTGTGCCCAGCTCATCTCCACCTGTGAGAGCAGAAGGTGTAAGCGCAGTCTCCAGCCCCCGGACTCCACGCACAGGGCGGCTCAGCCTCTGTCCTCACAGAGAAAGTTCTTTCTCCCAGCTCTGCTGGGGCTCAGCTACAGATTCCAACAGGTGGCTCAGAAACCAGTGCCTCAGCAGAGCCAGAGTGCAATCTGGCAGCAGAATCTAAAACTGGAAAACTGGGGAAAAATAGGCAAAACAAATACAGATAAATTTGTTTTTAATAAAGGAGTTAATTTTCTTTCAATCCTATATAAAACAATAGCAATTAAAAACTTCATTTTTGAAAGTAAAATATTTACATATGAACAAGTAACTGTGCAAAATTTACATGAAAAAATGGAAAGACAGGGATTTCCTAAAAGACAAAATAAAAGGTGTAACAGTTCTCAGGTGTTGATAAAAAATACTGATCAGCGTTCAGTTCGCACGCGCTGGAATTAAAGTCTAATGTGAGAACTCACACGGAGAAAGCCAGAGTATTTACAGTCATCAAAGTACTATCAATAGACAATTTCATACAATAACCTCTGAAAATAGAAAGAACCAATTAGTATATTTGCAATAAAAAAATAGGTACAAAGAAGGGGCTTTGCTCTGGACGTCTGTAAAGTCGGCCCAAGGCTTGCATACAGTCTCTTAGCAAAATAATTATAGTTTACATAGCCATTTCTATGTCATGTGCCAAAAGTTATGTACAATTACTGACAAAATACACCAACCATTTTTCAACACTTGATTCACACCGAGAAACAGTCTTTTGATGATTCTTCTCAACTTTGATTTTATTTAATCTAGGTTTTCACTTTTAGCTAAAAAACACAGTGCAAGTAAAATATATTTATGCTGAAAAGGTTTTCATCTCTTTTAACTTTACAGCTTTACAAACTATAGCAAATAAAATGCATTTGTACAGATGCTGACCACACATTCAGAAGGAGCCCACCTTTGCTGGGCCCCGCCTCTACCAAGCAGAAATGCGATTACACTCTGAGGTGGGGGTGCTACGATGAATTGTGTATTCCTCCAGGATTCTCAGCGGAGCGGAGGGGAAGGGAGACAAGGGGAGGGCTGGGGGGAGAGGGGAGGGCTGGGGGGAGAGGGAAGGGCTGGGGGGAGAGGGGAGGCAGGGAGAGGGGAGGGGACAAGAAGGGAGATGAGGGGGAGAAGAGGGGAGACGGGGAGAGGGGAGGGGAGAAGAGGGGGGGGAGATGGGAGGGGAGAAGAGGGGAAGGGGGAGAGGGGAGGGGAGCGGGGAAGAGAGGAGGGTGGGGAGAGAGGAGGGTGGGGAGAGAGGACAGAAGGAGCCCACCTTGCTAAATCGCCGCCAAGCAGAAATGCATTACACTCTGAGGTGGGGAAGCACGATGAATTGTGGGGACTCTCCAGGATTTTAGCGGGAGACAGAGGGGAAGGGAGACAAGGGAGGCTGTGGAGAGGGGAGGGCTGGGGGAGAGGGAAGGGCTGGGGGAGAGGGGAGGCAGGAGAGGAGGGAGCGGCATGGCATGGGGCAAAGAGGTGAGACTTTGAGGAGGGGAGGGAGAAGAGGGGAGGGGGAGATGGGAGGGGAGAAGAGGGGAAGGGGGAGAGGGGAGGGGAGCGGGGAAGAGAGGAGGGTGGGGAGAGAGGGAGGGTGGGGGAGAGAGGAGGGTGAGGGAGAGAGGAGGGTGAGGGAGAGAGGAGGGTGAGGGAGAGAGGAGGGTGAGGGAGAGAGGAGGGTGAGGGGGAGAGGAGGGTAGGGGGAGAGGGGAGGGGAAGGAAGATAAATAGTCTAAAAAATCAGTTTGCTTTGCTAACTGACTATTACAAAAATAAAATAAAATGAGGTCATCGGCTGTAGACATACACCTACACAGTAAGTTAGGTAGAACTAAACCAAAATGCACAAATAATGCAGAAACTGCTATGAGTTGACAGAGGGCAGCTAATTATTTGCTAGCGATTCCATCAGTCTTTATATATGGCTTGTTTGGCAAGAAGGCCACTCAATCAAGATGAGTTAAGATTTAATTGTCCTTTAAGAGTATCCACAGGCCTTTGTGTTCTCTCCGTTACAGAAACGTATTTTCTTTCAGACTGAAGAGTTGATTTAGAAACAGGAATATAAAACTGTTCCATCGTAAAGAGGTGGCTGTTTTTTAAACAATATCCCATTTGCTTGTTACAAAAAGGCGTAATCTGCAAATATATAAAAAGTCCCCAGGCGTCCTCCTGTGTCACTTAAGGAATGCTTTGTAGAGCAGCAGTGAATGGCTTGTCTCACGTTCATTTTCTAAACAAAATATGAGGTCCCTGAGGTTGACCCGCGTGATTCTTTGTCGCGTGAACTGTCTGGGGGCTCCGACCCCCGAGCTGCCTGGGACCACCGAGCCGGGGCCCGACCCCTGGTGACAAAAACGGAGAAGACAGGGTGTTAGTGGGGCCCAGAGTGGGGCTTGAAATGGGGGCCTGTGTGTCTGAACCAAGCACCCCGATTCCAGAGGAGGCCAGGCCTGGCATGGGCTCCCTCCGGTAGGCCCACAGCTGGAGCTGAGGTGCTGTCCCAGGGCCCTGCCAGGGCAGGGGCAAGGGCAGGAGGCCCCATACTGTGCCTTCAGGACAGGGCACACTCAAGACACTGCCCAATGCCCCACAGTGCTCAGACCTGCTCCTGGGGCTGAGGATGGACCAGGGGGTGGCACCCACCCAAGGCAAATGTCTGAGCGGCCCCAGGGCCACCCTCCATGCGACCACAGCTGGACTGCGTGTGGACTCAGCTGGGGTACAAAAGCCACACTGGGTCCCTGTGTGTCATCCTGCCTGGCTGCTGAATTCCCGCACTGGGAGGGCTGGGGTCGGCTGGGACTGGGCATGCTAGGTCAGCTGCGAAGGCTGGGTGCTCAGTGGCTCCCACAGTGATCCCTGGGCCTCTGGCTGGGCCCTGCTGCACAGACTCTGCCTCCGTCAGCCCCGCCAGGTGACCAGGTGCCTCCCGAGCTGCCTCAGATGTGTTCCTGCTTGAAGAAGCATGGCTGCTGGGTGCCACCTCTTGTGGAGAGCTCTGGTGGTTTCAGCTGATGACACGTGCACGACACCGCCTAGCGGGGCACGCGCCACACACACACGACACCGCCCAGCGGGGCACGCGCCACACACACACCACTCCACCACCCGGCACCCCAGCGGGCGCCACACACACACACATGTCGCCCAGCGAGCACAAACCACACACACACACACACGACACCGCCCAGAGACGCGCCACACACCACGACACCGCCCAGCGGTCTGCGGTGCCACCACGACACAGCCCAGCGGGCACGCACCACACACACACACGACATGCGCCAGGCGGGCTGCTTGGCATCTGCCACACACACCACTGCCGGCAGCGCCCGGCCCAGGGGCAGCAGCAGTACACCTGCGACATGTGTGGCCCAGAGGCTGTGCGCCTACACCACCTGACACTGCCACGAAACGGAGTGCCAACACACCTGCGACCACTTGCCCAGAAGCAAGTACTTTCACACACACACGGCACCTTAGCGGGAATCGCCACACACAGGCACCTGCCCAGCAAGGCACGCACCACACACACACGGCACGCCGCCCAGCCGGGCATGAGCCACAACTCCCAAAGGCTGTGGTTTCCCCATGTGGCATGAAAACACACACACACACGGCACCGCCCAGCGGGGCATGAGCCACACAACTCCCAAAGGCTGTGGTTTCCCCATGTGGCATGAAAACTAAGGTCTGCTCTGATGGTGAAAGCCGCTCATGTATATTTAAGTACAAAGATTACAATGGCATCTTTACAGCACATTCTCAACCAAAGTTAAGACGCTGGAAGTAGCTGATTCTGCTGTGCACGCCACTGGGAGCCCTGCCGTGAACAGCCACAGGCAACGCCCGGGCTGCCCTGATGTGGCACCCCGAATCCCGTCCTTCCTCCCATCCCCGCTCTGCCACTTTCAGTTCAGGCTGGGAGCATGGCTGCCTTGTGTGATGGCATGCAAGTGTGACTCCGACCCACTACATTTTCTTTATTCCTGTGAGATTCAAACAGAAGAGGGCACCTGTCTCCCTTCAGACGCCCTGCACTGTGAGGGCCCTTCTTCAGACCTACCCCGGGTGCCTCTGCTACTGAAGCCTCTGCGCACTACTGAAGCCTCCGCGTGCTCCACACTAGCTCATTACAAACTGATCCTCACCTGAGGCCAGGCCTCCCAAAAGAGAACTTAGGCGGGGCGAGTGACAGTTTGCAGGGTGAGGGCAGGGCTCTCACACGCACCACCCTAACAGGCTGTGCGACCCAGTGACACCTTCTATAAATTCCAGACTGTGTTTGATGCTTCTACCTTCAAAATAGTTCAGCTACCAAAAAAGAGGACTGGGGTGAAGGGGAGACGCTCATCCCAGGTGCGCAATTTAAGGGCTGCTGAGGGTCAGAAATCAAGATATTCTAATGCCAAGTGTCAGCACCAATCAAGGGAAGGGGCAAGACCAACCAAGGGAGGGGGCGAGACGGTGCCTCCTCGGGGCTGAGGCCACTCCCAGGTCCCAGCGCACTGAGAAACTGATGGCAGGCCCTGCTTCTGCGCCAAGCTCTGAAGGTGCACTATGAATGAAAAACATAACTTCTCCAGATTGAGTTTTATAAATACAACTAAATTTTTCTTAAATCTAAAAAAAGAAAAGAAAAACGCAAATTAACCTGATACTCCAGTTGCCTCTCTCTACACCGCACACTGCTGCCTTCTGCCCAGTCCACCTCGCCCCAGGGAGGAGGGGTCCACACACTCTGTCTTTCCCATAGGGTCTTTGCTCGCAGAAATCTATGTGGATTCTGGCTACCGCAGAGGGTCTGCTGCTAAACTGCTCTGAAGATGGAGTGGAGATCTCGTGGGAACCTCCTCCTCTCTTCTCAGGACTGGGGCTGCCATTGGACCAAGGCCTTCTGTGCCCAGCCCACACGGCAGTGGCAGCGGCTTTCCTTCCTAGGTTCATCCAAACCCCTCATGGGCTGTGCCCGTGGTGGGCGCAGCAGCCCGGTGGGGGGTGGCAGTCAGGGACTGGTCACGGAGCCTGCTGGGAGGAAAGTGCTTAGTGGGGGCTCCCAGCTCCCATGGGACACCTGAGGACGAAGTGCCTGCGGGGACCAGGGCCAAGGCACCCATGGCCACTCTAGAGGGACTGTGGCACATGCAGGTGCGACGGCCACTCTAGAGGGCCTGTGGCCCATGCAGGTGTGATGGCGCCAAGCAGGGCCTGGGACGACAAGGTCCACCAAGGCCAGCGCCGATGTGGAGCCCTGGGGGCCTCGGCGTAAACAACTCCAAACACAGGGGCTTGGGGATTTTTAGGTGCAGGGACTGGGATTAGAAAACGAGCAAGCAAACTAAAATCCCCACGACCCTGGACATACCACACGAACCCTCCCCCTTTACAGGTCTCCGCCTCTGAAACATGGCAGACATCCCCTGCCCCGTCACAGGGCTCTTAAAGGCACCAAATGAAAGTAGGCGATCTCTCCACTGCACACGCGCCACAGGGACTCAATGTCGAAGCCAAATGCAAAGAGTCGCCATCGGTGGAACCGCCTGGTGCAGGGTCTGTGCCGCCCGAACGTCAGGCCCCGTGCCATCAGCAGCGGGAGCAGAGCGTCTGCTCCTGAGGTGGGAGCCCCTTGGCCCGTCCTTTACTCCACCACGGAGCCCCAGCCGAGCAATGGGTGGAGAACGCTGTGCCCACAGCCGCCCGGGCAGCGGGTAACAATGGCCCGTGCCGCACACGCTCCAGCCAGCTCCGCCCCGAACGCGTGCAAGCCCTCTCCGTGCCTAACCATTTACGGGGTGTCACACACACGAGGCAAGGTCACTGGCAGCACATTTCGAAGAACAGCAGTAGTAACAAAAACACTCGGACACACAACTTAGAAAGTTAGCATCACTTCCGGGATGCTGAAGACAACATGGCTGCCGAGCTGACGTCTCCCAGCCTCTCTTCCACACACAGTTCAGCACAAGCAAGGAACACAGGTCTACACCAGCATCACCGTCGGCACAGGACGAGGGCGCCTAGACTTCACAATCACTGCAAGTCGGCGCACAGTCAATACACGCCCGAGCCTGATCCCGCTAGTGCCTCCCCTGCAAGGCCACGGTGGGGCGGGGCGGGGCGGGGCGGGGTCCGTGGGAAGTCACTGCTGAAAGGCTAAGGCACCCCAAGTCCGAGCGCCTGAGAGGTGTCCAGGAAGGTCAGCACGGACCATAGGGCAGGGACCACGGAGCACAAGACGGGAAGGGGTTGTCAAGGCAACACGGCGTGTCGTGAGAGGAGCCCTGTGGCCGCTGGGTGTTGAGGCAGAAAAGAAGGAAAAGGGGAAGTTCGGGTCCCGCAGTCAAGGGCTGGGAGAACCGGAGGACGTTCGAGACCCGGACTTCCCATGCGGCCAGCAGAGGGCGCCAGGAAACCACAGACCTGGCAAACACCGCAAGGCCACCAGGAGGAAGGGACAGAGGCGTCAAAGCCACCCAGAGCCACGGGAAAGTCAGAGAGTCAGAAAATGGGGGCTCCACACACATCAGAAACCCACCCTGGAACAACAAGGAAACTAACAACACTCTCAATACAGGAAAATCTGAAGTGTGCACTTAAGGATATAAAAATCACCTCAAATCAGAATCTCAAAAACTAGGAGGCACATTTTTATAAAAACAATACAATTACAAATACAACACCAAAAGGAAGTAACAGCTGACTGAACTTAAGGAAGAAATGGAAGGAAGAGGCAAAATTATCTCTGAAATGAATAAACTGCCAACTGTTCAAGGAGGGGAGGCAGTGAAAATGCAGTAAGGAACCCACTAGAGACAGGAAGCCAAGAGGATGGAGCCAAGACACAGAAAGGAGGACAAAGGTCAGGAGAAAACAGGGCAAACGAGAGCTGGATAATCTCCCTCTCAGACGGAGTGGGACATTCACACCATGACATTTGCAAAAGACAGCAAACCCACACCCTGAGGAGACACTAAACCCCACACCCACCTGAGAGGAGACACCAAAATCCACACCTACCTGAGAGGAGACACCAAAACCCACACCCACCCGAGAGGAGACACCAAACCCACACCCACCCGAGAGGAGACACCAAACACACACCTACCCAAGAGGAGACACCAAACCCACACCCACCCGAGAGGAGACACCAAACACCCACCTACCCAAGAGGAGACACAAGCCCACCCACCGAGGCCTAGCCCACCCCGAGAGGGGCACAACCCCACCCCAGAGGGAGCACCAAGCCCACACCCACCCAAGAGGAGACACCCAAAGCCGACCACACTGAGAGGCCCAGTGGTGGCGGGACTCTGAGATGCAACCTCTTACACTAGGGGCTCTC